TTAGACATAACCTTGTTTGTTATGTTAGATGTTAAATGAAAGTCGAATCCATCAATCAGTTATTGTTCTAAAACAATTATATACAATTCAAGCATTCACCAGAGCTGGATCATGTGCCTAAGAGGAGTAATCATCTCAGATACCACAATGAATCTAATAATTTGTTACAATACAATCGCCTCTCTAAAGTGGTTTATTAAAGTATCTTAAAAAAAGATTTTATCTTTGGACAAATTCATAATCATTATTAACATTAAGCTTGATGATGTGTTTAAATATATATATGTTCGAGTCCAAGCCTGATAATCAACGACGTTGGCATATTACTGGATTTACAGCTGAATGTATTCAGGCCCTTCTTCATCAACATCAATCTTCCATACTCTGTCATCCATGGTGAAGAGGTAGTGTTACAAGTAAACATCTTCAACTACATGACTGAAAATCTCACAGTGAGTACCAGGCATCTTGCAAAGGAAAGTCTGCATGCAATACCTTATCTAGAACAAAAATGAATATAAAAACAGATGTAATTTTTGCTCCAAAATATTAAATCAATCTGCAATACATTCACTTTAACATTAATATTTTCACTTAGCTGGAGATACCAAAGATATGAAAAACAAGAAGGTCTTTAAACAGCCTAGATTTAAAAGCAGACAAATCCATAAATGTTCAATCAATTTCTACGAATACAATAATAATATAATTATATTTTAAACTAGATAAATCTATTTATCAAATACTGACGTTTTGAAATAGAAGCGCTTATGTCTTTTTAATGTAACATCCACTATTTTTGCCCATGATTTAGGTTTTAGTGACCCTAGAACAAAACTCAGATTTTCAAAACATAGTCGTTGATGACTTGGGATATACACATTATGAATCCATCACAAAGACAACTACTGTTCTGGTATGTATTCTATAATGAAAATGATCAAATTAAAAGAATCTCTCATAAAATTAAGTTTTAATTAAATTAGTTAAATAATATATGTTCACAAGAAACTAGAACCGTTATCTTTCAGAAATGTTTGATGTCTTCCTAAGCAGTGATCATAATAGGCTATATCTATAGGCTATATAGGCTATATAGTATGCAATATTTCTTATACATGTATTTCCTTTTAATATCAGATTTGTTTAGTTGCCCTCTTTTTTATTTTGCAACAGTAGTTATCTAATATACCCAGTGTTACTGGACATATACATCGACATATCTATTTAGTGACACTCAGGACAATCTACATCAGTGTTTTTTTTCCTTTACTAAGTGTCATTGGATATACATGTATACTTTGACATAACTTTTTAGGTACACTCAGGCAAATCTGAATAACCGTTTTCTCCCGTTATTCCCAATGTTCTTGGATATATATGTACTTTGATATATCTGTTTAGGTTCACTATGATCATCTACGTCAGTGTTTTCTGGTTATACCCAGTGATACTGGATATATCCTTTGATACATATCTAAGTAGTTCCTAATCTGTGTTTCCCGTTAAACCCAGAGTTATTGAAGCATGCTTTGACTAATCTGAATAGGTGTACATTTATCACTCTGAATCTTTGTTTTCCCGTTATACCCAGTTTACTGGTTATTTACTTTGTTAGAGTTACATTCAGGTCAATCCTAATCAGTGTTTTCCCGTTATACCCTGTGTTACTGGTTATATATACTTTGACATATCTGTTAAGGTACACTCAGGTCAATCAGAATCAGCGTTTTTTCCCGTTATACCCGGTGTTATCGGAGACATTGACATTTCTGTCAAAGCTCAGTCAGTTATAGCAGCAGATGCAGTAAAAAGAAAACTACGTGTAGAGGTAGGATTTCTTTTTTTTTTTCTTATTAGTTAAGAATGCAATATCATTTAGATATACAAATTTGGAATAGAATTGTCTTTTTAAAAAGCAACTATTATCAATAAAAAGAGGTTTGAGTTGTTTTAAGGTTTCGTCAAAGGTCAACATGTTCAAAAATTTATTTTTACAATAGCTCCTAATCTATGTGAGGTATAAAGTTAACACTTTTACTGAATTTTTATTTGGTAAGGCGGAAGGAGTAAAGAAGGAGTATAACGTCCCTTTGATAATTGACATGACCAACAAGACTACTGACCATTATAGTGTCCCCATCGAATTCCCAAGTTCACTGGTGAAAGGATCAGAAAGGGTACAAGTCTTAACCATAGGTATTTAATGTTATTACATTAAAAGAATAATTTTGTTCCCGTCAGTTTTGTATTTCAAGTTAAGATTGCCATGATATAATTAAAATAATAACATTTTTAAATCAAATTGAAACATGATAGAAAAGTTTGCACACGATTTGATTTGATTTATTTAGGTGACTATATGGGGCCATCCGTTTCTGGTTTAGACAATTTACTAACTTTACCAACGGGCTGTGGAGAACAGACTATGATTGGCTTTGCCCCAGATGTGTTTATTTTTAAATATCTTCAAAAAACTGGACAATTAACAGATCCAGTCAAAGATAAAGCCTTGTCTTTCATGGAAAAAGGTAAAAATTACGCATGATGCACGATTTCTTTCATATATTTTTGATAAGATTTTTTTTATCAACCACAGTGGAATTTCAAGCCTTCATCAATTATACACACGGATTTTATTATTTCAAATCATATCTGTTCTTTTTTCCTCATATAATTCTTTTTCCCATATACAGTATACAAACACAAGAATTTTAATGACACGTTAAATTCTTTAGTATCTCATTTTTCCTACTCATTTATGCAATTAGAATTTAAATAAGTTTATTTGACGTTATTGAAATATCATAAAATTATTTCTGGATTCCAGGCTATCAACGGGAACTTAAGTTTCAGCACAGGGACGGCTCATTTAGTGTTTGGGGATCCAAAGACAACTATGGAAGTACTTGGTATAAATTTTTATTTATTTTTGCTTTTGGGACCAGATCTAATAATCTAATATTTATCTTATGCGTACATACTTCAACAATCCCTTAACAACATTAACTTTGTCTCACAATACTGTGAGAACTTCACATAATCCAAGGAGTGAATGTGCATTTATTTAACCGAAAGAAAAAATACATTTTCATTTTTTAAACAAATTTTCAGAGTTGCCTAGAACAAAAAATTCCACTTTGAATTGAGAAGTTTTACGGTTGATAAAGTGTGTTTTACTATTCCTTTAAAACAAAATTCCTCCTTCTCCCACACATAGTGCAAGATAAAATGCTTTTGTAAGTTCTAATTTAGGCAAATATTTTTATGAACAAAGTAATCAAAATCAGTAACAAAACGATAATACTAGCTATTACACATTTCATGATAACACATGTAGAAACTTTCATATCATGTTTTCTATTTTAGGTTGACAGCGTTTGTTTTGAAATCTTTTGCACAATCTGCATCGTATATTGACATCAACAGTGAAGTTTTGGAGAAGGCACAACAATGGCTTATAAACCGTCAGACGAGCTGGGGTTCATTTAGTGAACTCCAGGGAGTCAACTCTCTATCTCTACAGGTACAGATAATATTAATTCCCCCTCTCTACCGGTTCAGCTTTTATTAGCTCACCTGACCCGAAGGCTCAAGTGAGCTTTTCTGATCAAAACTCAGCTAAACTTACCATAATGTATCGTTAGGTGAAGGGGATTCAAGATTGTTCAAATAAAGGACCACACCCTCTTCCAAGGAACGATAATTCCCTTATGCACTTTTCACTTATACATAAGTGAAAAATTAATGGGATCTTTTAAAATCTTATCAAGAGCACTAGGCCATGAAAAATGAAACTTATGTTAAAGCATCCCTAGGCAGTGTAGATTCAAATTTGTTTAAGTTATGACATCGACCATAGAACTTACGAAATGATGACATTAAACGAGAATGCTGATATTCTTCAGCAGCCTGTTTGTCAATAATTTATCTCGTTTCAGACATTGTTAATATGTTATCATTCAATACGGCTCGATTTATCTCAGTTATTTTGAAATAAAGGACATTATAGAGACTGCCACTTCTGTATCTTATTCGGAAGGGTTTAAGCTTTTCCATCGTCAATGTTCCTATTCATAGTAATATTCTGCTATTAAAAATTTGTATTATTTTTCTTCAGAGATCAGTTTCTGTTCCTTATCTTCAACTCTTTTTTTCTTTTGTCAGGGTGGATCGCACAAAGAGTTAACTCTTACAGCTTTTGTTACCATAGCACTTGTTGAAAGCAAAGATGTTGTTAGCGTAAGTAATGTTCTTCAGATGTGCATTCAAAAGTATATTACCTTACCTGTGAGAAAGTTCAGTTAAAAAAATGTGATATTTATTTAGAGAAAATAAAGAATATTCAGAATATATTAAGTTCATTTATCACTTGTTATTGTATAGAATACGCGGCTGGACTATGTGCTACAGAAATCCAAGACTTATCTAGAGCAACATGCTAAATATATGAGAGATGCCTACGATATTGCCATTGTCAGTTATGCTCTTGCACTTACCGGAAGTCCAGTGGCTGCAGAAGCTATGAAGAAATTGGAACCCAAGCCTTGTACGAATTTTATTGACAAATGCCTAAGAACAATTTATTCCGAAATTTTGATTTATTCTTTTAAATACAGCATTACCTTCAAAAATAGTATATTTTTGGTCTAATAAATGTTTTTTTTTTTCTTTTTTTTTTTTTTTGATAAAAGGTTTGTGCAATACAATTATGGAAAATAATTGAAATGAAGGCAAACCTCAACAAAAGAATAATAATGAACTAATTTAATTCTTTTAAAGATTTGTTTATTTATTTTCATTTTTAACGTTTCTATTAAAATTCTTGTTTTTTGTAGCATCGGCCTTCACCACAACGACAACACCTAAACCTTGTAAGTTACATACACTGTATTTTACTTATGATCACGCTGTGCGGTTTTAACATTATTTTTCATAAATTGCAATTTTGGTAAGAAATATTGGCGTATGTTTTATGGATAAATCTGCTACTTGTTATTTAATTTTATTAAATTAGTATAAGATACCAAATAGCAAAATAAAATGTAAAAAGATAATCTGTGTACATATTTATTTTCTAGAAGGTAATAATTACCGAAGCTCATACTTTTGATTGATTGTTTGTTTGTTTGTTTTTGCATTGCTACATCTGCAATGATGTCTATGAATAAAAAAAATTCCCTTTAAGCAGGGACCTATATACTATTAGTATATAGGTCCCTGCTTTAAGTATTTCTTATCTAGCTAAGACGTTTAGTAAATTGAATGGGAATTAATAATGATAATTTCCATTCCTACGTTGATACGATATATCCTGGTGAGCTTGAGATAAAAGATACCACAGAGTCCGACACTTCTGCTTTATACTTGGATATTTTACTTGAAAAAGACACTAATGGTAATCTAACAACCAAGCTATATGATAAACGTGATGACTTTAATTTTTCTATTGTCAATTTCCCTTACTTATGCAGCAACATACCTTCATCACCTGGATACGGAGTATATATATCTCAGTTGATTCGATACGCAAGAGCATGCTCTACGTACGAACAATTTCTTAAACGAGGTAAATTATTGACAAGCAAGTTGATGAAACAAGAATATCAACAGTCTCGTTTAAAGTTCTATGGTCGATACAATGATCTTGTCAGCAATTACAATTTATCATTGAGTCAAATGCTGACTGACGTTTTTCATACCAATTGTTAGTCCATTATTAATACACTGAATTAACGACGGATTTTTCCGTTATTTCCTGATCATGACAAGGAGCACACGATAGGTGTGACCTGTCAGCAGGGGATGCTCACTCTTCCATGGCACCTGATCCCATCTCTGATATTTCGGAGGTTCGTGTTTGCTCTGCTCTTATTTTGTATTTTGTTTAATGGACGTTAAGATTGAATACTGTTCGTTATCTCCATATCCTTCTATCTGAATGTTTTATTCTTAAACTTAATTTAACTCATAAAAAATAAAAATATAAATTGAAGGGAATATTTATCTTTAATCTTTGTGGATAGAAAAATTATAACATGGAATACCTATCTTTAAACTTACTAATAGAAAATCATAGAAAGGAATATTCATACCCCCACTTGAAAATTGTAAAAAAAAAAAACAAAAAAAACATGTACTTTGCCAATATAACCGTATTGGAGGCAGAGATATCAGTGAGTGAGCTCATTGTTCAAAATATCTCTAGTTTATCTCAAGAATATTCATACATAAAATTATTGAAATCAATATTTATCCCTAAAAATTGAGAAGGACTATGATTATTTCATTTAAAAAATACAGATATAAATACAAATATTTGTAATATTTTTTTTGTACTTTGGTCCTGTGCTTCATTGTGTTTCCTTTCATTTTGCTTTTCTCTGAATTGTCAGATAAATGATGTTTAAGGTTATTTCTTTCTGTTGAAGCATGCACAGAACCAGCCGCTGACATTGTATTTGTTCTGGACTCCAGTGGAAGTATCGGTTCCAGCAACTTTCAGAGCATTCTCTCCTTTGTTCGGGACATGACCAGTTCATTTGATTTTACTAATGGAAAAGCAAAAGTTTCCGTTGTGACCTTCAGCTCTCAAGTTTATGAAGCATTCCCTTTAAATGCATATCAAACTGCCTCAGCAATTGGGGATGCTGTTTCCAGAGTACCGTATTATGCAGGTGGCACAGACACCGCCTCAGCACTTCGATATGTGGAAAACAACAGTTTTATTGCTTCGAAAGGAGCAACAATGAATTCCAGCAGAATTGTGATCGTAATAACAGACGGACAATCTAACAACCCCGCCGACACAAAAGTAGCTGCTGAAGCGCTGCGATCTATCGGAGTCACTACATATTCCATCGGCATCGGTAGTGGAATTGGACAAAGAGAGTTAGAAAACATTGCCTCTGATATCAATCACGTATTTAGAGTGTCCGACTATAATGCTCTTCAACAGGTCCAGCTATCCCTGGGTGGTGAAAATTGTCATGGTGAGTTGTACATGTGTTCATTTGTCGAGTAAGCAAAGTATTTTTATGCAATACTGGACATAAGTAAATTCATACCTTACTATCAAAATTTCTGGAAAATGCAAATCAAAGTTAATTATATTTTATATGAGAATATTGTTAGCAACTATAATTCGTCTTTTTGCAGTTGTTGATATTTATTTGCCATGGGAGTCATCTGGAAAATCTCCAAATTATCTCTGGAATAGTCCCAACACTCGAGCAACTCCAGTAGATATTGAGACGTCGGCATACACACTCCTCTATTATATGAAGAGTCAGCAATATGTCCAGGCCCAAAAAATACTGAAATGGATTCTAAAACAAAGAAATGCAAATGGAGGCTTTGCGTCCACTCAGGTATATCCGAACCAATAGGCAAAATGTTATATCTTTTACTTATAGGGTGGATCTTTAAGCAATAGGCAGTTGTAATTTCAACCATTAATATGAACTTAACTTAATAATTTTTATTTTATATGATTTTAAAAGACCAATAAAATACAACTGAAAAATATGAAATAATGATATTGGATGTTAAACCAAAATAAATTCATAAGAAAATATATAGCAATATCTAATGTTATACAATATTTTATTCATAAGGACACCGTTCTGGCCTTACAAGCATTGTCCGAACTTACACATTCCCCGTCCGGAAATTCACTTCTAGACTTAAATGTCAAGGTCAACACTCACAATGAAAGTCACAGTTTCAATGTCAATGAAAGAAACAAGATGGTTCTTCAGAAATTTCAGGTAAGATATCGATTGCCAAACATATCTGGAACAGCATATGGGAGATTCAGTTAGTAATTTTAAAAAATGAACTAAATTTAATATTTATGTAATTAAAGAAAAATATATTGCTTTTGTTTTGTTACTCTATATCCTATATCCATAGGATAAGGTATTTCTAGAAATCAGTATGGTATGCTAAGGAATATTATTGTAAGTAGAGTTAGCTATATTTAAATGGAATTTATCTTTTTCTATTTCAAAAATGCATTTCCCAGTATGTAATTATCTTTATATGATACAGCCCTCTGGAGTTCCAGACATAGTCAATGTTACAGCTAGTGGGCACGGAGTGGCTTTGGTCCAGGTAAGGTTACATAATGATTTCTAAAACGAATGTTTTTGGGGGGCTCAATTCCAATACATTGAATATTTTAATCAAAATAATAGCCTAGTTCCTAGAATGCTATTTCTTCATTTTTAAAGATCAATTGCATTTAGATTATTACAAATATAATACTTTTATTCCTGTGGTATTTAATTGTAACATCAATGTAAGAATCGAAATGCCTTGGGGAAATAAATAAATTTTACTTATTTATTTAGATTATCAATAAATTAAATTTAATTTGGTTTAAAGTTTTGGGCTGATACAATACTCGGTATGCCTACAATTACATGTAAAGCCTTCATACCGAAAAAAGATCATCTGTTTACTGACATGCTAAAATGAAAATATGCTGACAGAAAACTTTTCAATACACTTAAACTTTAATTAATTTGATAAGTTAAAAAACAATGTTCTCTTTAAGGTGGCAGTGAATTATAATGTTCAGGAACAAATAGAAAAACCAGCCTTCTTGATCGATGTAACAAGTCTGAAAGAAACTATGGAAACCATAACTACAAAGATTTGCACAAGGTATAATAGCCTCTTTCAATAAAAAAAAAAAGAAATGCTTCGTTCTACCTGTAAGTATATAATAAAGATAAGATAATTCGTTTTTATCCGGATTAAAGAATATAACCGAATTGTTTAGGTATAACACATCTACAGCTGTGGGGAGCGGTATGGCTATTGTAGAGTACGGCGTCCCGTCAGGGTATGAAGCTGACATGGAGAGCATAAGCTATCATCAA